ACCTCCTGGCGTCCCGGGGACCCCAAGCCCGCAGCACCTCGGCCCGCGCCCCAGCGGTCGCTCACCTGAGCCAGCGGGGTCCGCCCGGAACCCTGGCCCGGCCGCGGCAGCGGCGGCCCCGGACGGCTTTCCCTGGCGCACCGAGACCCACACGGCCCGGGGCGGTGCGAGGTGGGAAGCGCGAGCTCCGGGAGCTCCCGGCGGAAGTCCGGAGGGGCGCGGCCGAAGCGGGGAAGGGGCGGGGTCGGATGTAGAGGGGCGGTCCCTGTGGGGGCGTGGCCTGTGGACGGAGGGGGCCCACTCGGGGGGGGCGGGGTCGCTCGGCCGCCAGGGGCGCCGTGGGCGGCTCGCGGACTGCGCGCGCTCCGAGGGCCAAGCGCCCCCTCGGTCTGGACCCCCTGCCGGCCTCTAGGGGGGCCCCCACATCCCCACGCCGGCCTCCGGACCCTGAAGCTCCTGCTCCGCGGCCCTCGGCCCCCAGTCGTCCCGCCGGATCCCTCACGGGACCCCCACCGCCGCCGGCCTCGCCCGCCGCGCTCCCGCCCGGAAGCCGGACGCCCGCCGCAGTCTGGCGGGTGTCCACGCCGCCATGCCCTCTCTAGGAGACCTGGTGCGCGACTGGCAGCGGGGCGTGCAGGCTGTGGCGCGCGGGGACTGGGCCTGCGCCCTCCGCCTCTTCTCGGGCGACCCCGAGCCGCCCGCCAGGACGTGCTTCAACGTGGGCTGCGTGCACCTGCTGGCCGGGGACCCGGAGGCCGCGCTGCGGGTGAGCCGGGGCCCGACAGCCAGGCACCAGGGTTGGTCGCAGAGACCCCACCCCTTGGGAAGGCTGTTCTCCGACCCTGGGGAATCTTACCGTGCGATAAAGACCCAGCTGCAGGGGTGAGCCCGGGGTCCCCGTCCTTCTTCCGGTTGGTCATCTGGGGATGTCCCCGCAGTGTTCTGCCTCAGTGAACACCGAAGGCAGGGGGGAGCCGTGTGGTCGAGGGACCCCACGCTGAACTCAGTCAGGGCGTGATGGGGGCGGCCTCCCTCGCCGTCTCCTCGAGGTGATGACCATGCGCCAGACTCTGTGGTCACAGGGAAGGCCTGGGGTCCTGCAGGCTCAGGTGCTCATCGTGGTAATACCTGGAAATAGGCTGGACGCTGGATCCTGCTTGCGAGGGGCTTGCCTGTCCCCCAAGGTGTAGAGTTTAGAGCGGGGACTTCATCAGACAGCTGTGGCGATGGGAAGGAGATGAGGTCTGTCTTGTTGGTACCCAGACCCCAGATCTAAGTACTCATCTTTTCCCCAGTCTGTTCCCCAAAACAGAACCAAGAGCTCAAGAGTGCACACCGGCTGCCCGCTGCTGAGAGGGCAGCACAGAACCACCCTCTGCCTTTTAAACACTTTGTGTTCTTTAAAGTGATGCATGTTCCCCAGGTGCATACAAAAATCCAGCAGCACCCTACTCATTCTCTGGTCCCCAAATCGCCAACAGAAAGAACCAGGATCCTGCAGTTTTTGAGACAATCAGTGGCAGCTACCTGGAAAATGACACAAATGAAAAGAGAATTAGATGTAGGAGAGCATCAATGTCGATATCTTGTAAAACTTCACCACGGGAGTTGGGGGGGAGACTGGGCAAAGGGTACGAGGGATCTCCTCTGTCATTTCTTGCATCTGCATATGAATCTACAATTCTTAGTAACAATTTCAGTTTTAAAGTGTTATCCAAGAAAGGGAATATAATCACCAGACACTAGGTAGCTCAATCAATAGTAGATATAAGGCCAATCCATTTATCACTTATTCATAAACTGTGAGTTAACTAGAGAAGGGACAGAGGTGGTGAGCAGGAGAATATGGTATTAAATTCTTTACCCCAAGAGAAGAGGGAGGACTGTCCAAAGTCAATAAAATTAAGTAATAATAGATGGGCACATTAGTTGGAAATATGGAGATTTTTTAAAGCAGATGGAATGGCTATAATTATTAAAACTGTCTCTGAGGAGCAGGGCAGGGTGAGGAGGGGTGTAGGTAGGAAAGCAGTCTGTTGATAGGAACCCTATGTGACTGACTTGGCTGCTCTGTGTGGCAGGGTAGCAAACAAATGGATTTCTCTGGCACTGAGTGCTCCCCCCCATCAATGTCTCTGTGTGTACCTTCAACCTTAGGTCAATCCCAGTTCTGCAGTAAGCCCCCCTTTTGGCCAGATTTGTAAGACCATGGTGCCCCTCCTATTACCCGTGTTTAACTGATGACTACTGTTCTGGTTAGGAATAGTCAACCTTGTTTGAGTGAAGTTTAGGGAAGAGCTGTACTTTACATTACATACTAAGACTTTTGTGTTCTTGTTCTTTCTAATACTTTTTTAAAGATTTTATTTATTTATTTGAGAGAGAGAGCACGAGCAGGGGTGATGAGACAGAGGAAGAGGGAGAAGCAGACTCCCCACTGAGCAGGGAGCCTGATGTGGGACTCGATCCCAGGACGCCGGGATCATGACCTGAGCCGAAGGCAGATGCTTAACCAACTGAGCCACCCAGGCGCCCGTCTTTCTGATTCTAATAGATAAGAAGTGTCATTTTGTATGAACTATCAGAAATAGGATTTTAAAAAGACAAAAATCTTGTATAATTCCATGCCCCAGAGGTAACTATTATTAATGTGCTGGAGTGTTCCCTTCTGTTGTTTCCCCTTGTCCTCATGGCAGACAGTTGGTTTATGACAACACCTCGCTGTGCTCTTTGCATTTCGGGAGCTCAGGCTGATTCTGGTTGTGGCACCAAGGAAAACTGAATGGTGATACAGGTACACAGACATGAGCTCTGGAGGCCCCGACTGGTGCAGGAAACTTTTATCTGCAGGTGGCTGTCCTGGGGTCCAATGGAATTCCTTGGCCCCCTGCCACTGGTCATCTGCCTGGACTGTGTGACACAGGGGTGATAGAATTGCAGACCTTGGCGATCCGTGGGCATTTCTGTCCCCAGGCATTTGACCAAGCAGTGACCAAGGACACCTGCATGGCTGTTGGCTTCTTCCAGCGAGGAGTGGCCAACTTCCAGCTGGAGAGGTGAGCACAGGGATGCCTTGTTTCTCCTCTGATGGCTCCTTTTCTCTGAAAAGTCCATTCTTATGCTCCCCCCTCCCCCTCTCTCCCCATGGGTCACCTCCTCTTGCCAACCCCCTCCTCTACAGCCCCAGGGAAGCCTGTGCTCATGCTGGAGCGGGACACAGGGCAGAGCTACATGGGGGGACTTCTCTCTATGCCGAGGTTCACAGAGTGCATTCATGGGCATCCCCTCCTTTGTTCCTCAGCACATTTTTGCTGTAGCAGGGATGGTGTGATTATACCCATTCTGCAGATGTGGAAACCGAGAGTAGGGCTGCAGTAATGGTATGTCCCGGGACACAGAAGTGGTTGGGGTCCTCAATGCTCACCTGGGCTCTTTGCACTGTGGTCCTTCCCAGAGAAGGAAACATTCTGCAGGACAAGCTCATCTTCCCCCTATCTCACCTAGCCCCCAGGACAAGCCCCGCAGATGGCCCCATGCCAAGCAGGCAGACTCTGGGGGCAACCTCCTCCTCACATGGGTCCAGGAGACTGCCTGGGGGAGATAGGGATTCCAGTGGAGGCTCAGGAGCTTCCGGCAGGTCTCTGCAGAGGGAGGCCCGCAGGGAATGGGGGTCCTGAGAAGCAGGAGGGAAATGCTCAGGGCACTCTACACAGCCAGGGCTGGAAGAGGGCCTGGGGTGCAGACAGGGGCCCCAGGCAGGGGAGTGAGATTTCCAGAAGTCAGAGCTGTGTGAGAGCTGACATCACCTCACACCCCAGGCATGGTGCCCCCTCTACCTCCCACAGCCACGTCTGTATGTCGATCCCTTGACCCATTGGGACTTGAGTGCCTACCATGTGCTAGGACCTGGGTGGCCACCACTGCTCCCTAGCAGGTGTCCCTGGAGATGGGGGCGGGGGAAGGCTGGGGCAGGGCTTGGCCCCTTTCCCTACAGCCACTGAGAACACCCCCCCAACCCCCAACTGCCCACAGGTTCCAGGAGGCCCTGTCCGACTTCCGGCTGGCCCTGGCACAGCTAAGGGATAACGCCACCATTGACTACACGCAGCTGGGCCTGCGGTTCAAGCTGAAGGCCTGGGAGGTGAGCTTGCCCAGACTTGTACGGGGAGCTGGTCTTCAAGAGGTGGGGCCAGCTGGGGGCCCTGGGGGTGCTGTCTGTGGGTGGATGGCCCGGGAGCCCCTTCAGGCCCCGTCCTCTGGGGCCCACTGTCTTGTTACTGTCACAGGTGGGGTCATGTTGACTGATACGCTCCCTCAGGCCTGAGACCCCGCTACCCCTACTGACCACACTTTCACCCCAAGGAAGCTTAGGGGCAGAAGAGGTGGGAGGCCACCAGGAGAAAGGCAGGGGAGGGTCAGAGTCAGCAGAGAGAGGCAGGTGGGGTCAGAAGGAATACAGCTTGGCTGTGAGCCCCCACCCTAGGCTCTCCGTGTGGCTGACACCAAGGGAGGGGAATCGAGAGGACACCCCCAGCACTCCCGGAAACATGCTGCCTGGAGCCTTCTCCAAGCAGCCTGTGTTGCAATCAACAAATCGTGGGAAAGTCCACAGCCTGGGTGGGTCCCCTGGCTGGGTGGGCTCCACAGCCTCCCCTGGCCCAGGGCACCCAACAGTGCAGGGTGGGGCATGGGGCGTTGGCCTGGCAGTGACCCCCAGCCAGCTGTGTAGCAGCATCTCCAGAGGGTGGCCAGCTGGCTCTGGGAGTGTGGGGTCACCTGGCAGGCCATGGGGACGGAGGGCCGCGGGAAGAACGGGTTGGTTTCTCTTGACATAGGGCCGAGCTGGGCAAGCACTCGCTGCCCCTGCAGCAGCCGAGGGGTCAGCGGGCAGCGTCGGCTCCCAGGAGCACGGGGCAACTTCGCTTCTGCCCTCAGCACGTCCCGCTGGCGACAGCCTTCACCCGACCCAACCTGTCCGTCCAACGTCTTTTCACGCGGGGGTGGGCGTGAGGAAGGGGACAGGACAGAGGAAGGGGCTCCTTGGACAGCACCCCAGAGCAGGGCACTGAGCAGGGCGGCACACAGTCGAAGGGGCTGCAAAAGGGGTCAGGCCAGATGCAGAATGGGGGTGAGGCAGGCGGAGAGGATGCTCCCAGAGCTCGGCGATCTGTCCCGATGTTCGGAGCGGAGAAGCGCCAGAGCAATGAACCGCTGCAGCTGGGGCGTCTGGAGAGTGAGGCCTGCCCGGCAGAGCCACTGAGCCAGGCAGGCTCCGCTTCAGGCTGGGCACCCAGAAGAGCCCTCGGACGCTGTGCCTGAGGCGCGACGGGGCCAGGGGCGGGGCGGGGGCGGGGCCAGGAGAGGCGTCAGGGGTGGGGCTGGAGGCGGGGCCAGGAGAGGCGTCAGAGGCGGGGCTAGGAGAGGGCCTGGGGGTGGAGGCAGGAGGGGGGTCAGAGAAGGGACTGGAGGTGGGGCCAGGATGCGGGCCGGGGGCGGAACTGGAGGCGGGGCCAGGAGATGGGACTGGCGGTGGGTCCAGGAGAAGGGTTGGAGGCGGGGCCAGGAGAGGTGCCAGGGGTGGGGCTGGAGGCGGGGCCAGGAGAGGCGTCGGAGGCGGGGCTAGGAGAGGGCCTGGGGGTGGAGGCAGGAGGGGGGTCAGAGAAGGGACTGGAGGCGAGGCCAGGATGCGGGCCGGGGGCGGAACTGGAGGCGGGGCCAGGAGATGGGACTGGCGGTGGGTCCAGGAGAGGGGTTGCAGGCGGGACTGGAGGCGGGGCCAGGAGAGGGACGTGGTGCGGGCCTGGGGTGGAATCCGGATAAGAGGCAGGGGAGGGGTGGGGAGCAGAGGGGGAGGTTGAGGCCTGAAGGGCTGCTCTGGGGGTGGGACCAGGGATGAGGCCAGAGGAGGGGAGATAAGTGAGGGAGTAGGCTGTCATCTCCCACCTCGCTCCCAGGTGCTCTTCAACGTGGGGGCGGCACAGTGCCGGCTGGGACTCTGGGCTGAGGCCACCCACAGCCTAGAGGAGGCCCTCTCGAAGGGGCCGGAAGGGGCTGACGACCTGCACGCCGCCCTGGACCAACTGCAGGTGAGGGGGATGCAGGTGGAGAGCAGGCCGACCCCACCCCCCGGGCGTTGTTGGGCCCATAGCCCACAGTCCAGGGCCCCCAAAACCAACTCTGTGAGATGAAGAAATTTCTAGAGGGAGGTGGCCGGTGTGCCCTGGTGTGGGGGCTGGGGAAGGACTTCCCAGGGCCTGTGAGAAGTGGGCGAAGGGTCCCTGAGGCCACAGCCCTGGTCAGATGCTCAGGTCTGCATTGGCCGGACCCCCTCCAGAAACAGGCCCCCCTGCAGCCTCGGCAGGTCCCCAGGGGTGAGGTCTTCCGGCCCCACAGGCGGCACCTGGAGCATCTGGAACCAGTGGATTTCCTAGGCAAGGCCAAGGTAAGGGGGCAGCGGCTCACTTCCTGCGGCCACGGGGCTCGGGGGGCCAGCAGCAGCCCGCAGGTGCTGAGCTCACAGGGGCACCTGTTGTTAGAAAGGCTTCCGTAGGTGGGTGGAGAGTGGGCACAAGGCCACCCCCAAACCGCAGAGTGCCTGAGCTTCCTGGGTCAGGGGCAGTGTCTTCAAGTGGAGTTCACAGATCCTGGGCTCTTGGAACCAGGAGGCAGAACCCACCGGAAGCTGGCTGCAGGGGAGGGCATGACTTTTTGGCAGGGATCCCCAAGGCGGTGCTGTCCCCAACTGCCTCTACCTCAGCCATGCTCTTCTGGCCTCAGCACCTCCTTGTATTTTTCTGTCTCCGTCTCCCTGCCTCTCTGCCCCAGAGAGTGAGATCCCAAGGAGGGCCGGGGTAGGCTGGCCTGGGCCACGCAGCATCACCAAAATCCCAGCACATTTGGGAGCAGGGGTGGAATGCAGAGAAGTAACTCCCCTGTGCACAAAGGAAAATTCGTTTGGGTTTCAAGCTGGTGGCCCTTGGGTTAACCCCAGCACCCACCGAGGTCACTGAGGGCCGGCACGCTGTGTGTGACCAGGTACAGGGCTGGTGAGGTCACATGCCCCAAACACCTCATCTTTGCAAACATCTGCTGGCAGGGGCCAGGCAGCTCTGAGCTGCATTAATCTGAATTTAGGGTTTGTTTATCACAGTATGAGACTTCTAAGAAATAAAAATATTTCAGAAGTTGTATTAAAAATAATTTAAAACTGTCAACACAGATGTTTTCCTTTATCAGACATATTTTTCCTACCTTCTAGCCTCCACCTGGCGGATGGGACACTCAGGAGTGTGGGGTGGGCAGCAGGGGCTGGGAGCGGACATCACAGGGCCCCTGACTCTGCTGTCCCCTGCTGTCCCTCACCAGGTGGTAGCCTCTGCCATCCCCGAAGACCAGCACGAGGGCACCCAGCCTCAGCAGCCCCAGGTGGGTGGGTAGCCTTCCAGCCAGCCCAGACTTCTGTGATTTTGCAGGCCTGAGCATTTCAGACCTTTTTACTGTGAAGGGAGGAAAATGCTCTGAACCCTCCCTCGGGGCTCCCCAACCTTGCTCTGATCTGAACTTGGGAGTGGCAGGCCTATTCTGTGTGGGAGTCTTGCCTGGGGTAGCAGCGCGGGGGCAATGCTGGGCCTCCCTGCCCTGACACTCACCCACAGGGATCTGCCTCCTGACAGATGTCATTCTGTACCCATAGGTTCGGGATGCCGATGGTGAAGGCAGACCTGGAGCCGCCCCACGGTAGGAAGGAGTGGGTCTCCCCTCTGCATGCTGGTTTCTCCTCTTGGGGCAGAGGCCCTGGTGTGAGGCCTGCATTGCAGCCCCTGAGGCCAGGGAAGAGGTGTCTAGCCTCTCTCAGCCCTGCCCATGCCCCCTTTGTCCAGATGCCCAGGGCTTACACTGTCCTGAGCCCATCCTGCTCGTGAGGAAGAGCCCTGTGCCCCCTTCTCACAGAAGCAGCACCCAAGCCTCAGTGGGCACCAGAGGGGAGTTGAGACTTCAGGTCGCCATGACTCCAAGTAGCACCGAGGCTCGGAGCCGAGGTGCCCAAGGAGGGAGCTGGCTGGGTTGTGGGCTGATGTAATTACTCCTCTGGCATTGCCAGACTGGACCTCACAGGCGGGGCCGTCCCAACTCGGGAGAGGGGTGCTGCTCAATGTTGCATGGGGTGTAGGGACATAGAGCAGTTCCCCGCCCGGGGCCGTGCTCTGTGCTGCCCCTCTTCTCCACACTTGGGGTTCCTCTCAGGCTGTGTCGGGGGGGGAACAAGTTGGGCAAGTCCTGGGTATGAGGGCTCCCCCCCGCCCCCCAGGGCTGGAGACTCAGGCCCCTGCAGAACTGCCACCCCCTGTGGTCCCAGGATGCCCCTTGAGGCAGAAACAGAGGTTGGCTCTGGACAGGTGGTGCAGGTCATCTACGATGAGCAGGTGAGTGAGCCCGGGCCCAGGTCGGCGGCGGGGTGGGGGACAGGGGCCACAGTGCTGGGAGGACACCCCCCACCAGGCTGAGCATGGGGACCAGCAGCCACAGCCCCGCACTGTGAGGGTCTCAGGGCAGGGCAGGTGGCCTCATCGGCTTCCTCTGTCAGGGCAGAGACAGGGCTGGACGCCAGGGTTGGGGAGCTTGCTGATGCTCACGGGTGCATAGGCTGGAGTCCGGTGGTCCTCCCCCTGCCGCTGGCCTGCAGCCTGGGCTTCTGTACCATTCATCCACCTAGCCTTCCTTCCTGGACACAGGCTTCTCCTAGGCAGGGACCCCCGGGAGGGTGTGGCTGGCCACCGCCCAGGGCCAGCGCCGGAGAGGGGTCGCGCATGCGCAGAGAAGGTGGTTGAACTTAACATGCAGTTTATCCAAGGACTCGATAAGAAAACAGACGGTCCCTCCCCTTTCACTGATGTTTCATTAACTCAAGGTGAACAGACCTGTGCCCTGAAAAGCAATTGTTCTCTGTCATGACTGAGCTTCATTAAATCTCCGCAGGTTAAGGCTGCCTTTACTAGGTTCGTACATTGGGGGTTTAGGTCCTTGACCCTCCTGACGTAATAGCAAACAGCTTCTGAAGGGCTTTAACCAGCTGGAAAATCTGATACAGTCCAAACACTTCATTTATAGTCAAACTTCCAGACCCCCCCCTTGAAGCCAGAATCTGATTCAGGATGGTCTGGACCCCAGGGCCCCTCTGGGAGGTTCCGCTGCCCCTCTAGCACCTCCTACATGGGGTGAAGTCCAGCTGGCCCCTGGCCTGGGTCCTCAGCCTCCAGGGTCACCGGGGACCCCCAGCTGGAGCTCCCGTCTCATAGTGCTTGGTGGTGGCGGTGGGGGGCATGACAGATTCTTCCCCACCGATGTAAGGCAGGCTGTGTGTGGTCTCCAGGCCCCTAGGGACCTGGTTCGTGCCCTGAATACACCCCCACATGGGTTGTATTTATGGCTTCCTGCTGATCAGCTGGCTCCCCGGCCATAAACCTCACCACTGGGTCTGCTGTGACAAGCCCCAGGCCAGGGAAAGCTGCCCCATCCTTAGGGCCCCCCTCCCTGGCCCCTGCTCCCAGCCTGTGGCTTTTCCTGCAGAGGCCCCGTGTGGAGCAAGTTGGCAAACAGGTTCCTCCAGGTAAGGACATCCTGAGCTGCAGGTGGTGGGCAGAGGCTCGTGGTGGTGGAAGTCCTGGGCAGGCGTCTGGGGGTGCTGGGAGTGGCCTCTTTGCCCCCGAGGGAGGCGGCTGGCTGCCTTGGGCCTCCCAGCGGGTGTGTGGTACCAACAGCTACTCTACCCCAAAATGTCCCAGTTTGGGGGTGGTGGCCATCTGAGTCCCTGCTCTGTCACCCTCCACAGGGCCGCTGGTGGCAGAGCCGCTGGACCCCAGCCCTTTGGAGGATCCCTCGGGTGCTGGGGTAAGAGGCACTGTCCTGTATGTCACCCCCACTCTTCAGGGATTGGGGGCCCTGAGGCCAGGCCCTGGGGACCCCAGCTGATAGAGCCTTCCAAGCCTGGAGCCCCAGCCCCTCCCCCCCTCTTTGCTCGAAGGCCACCCCAGCCGGGCCCTGGGCATGCAGGTGTGGGGCTTCATGACTGACCACTGCCTTTCTGCCCTGACCCAGGGAGTGGCCGTGGAGGACCCCGCGTCCTCGGTGACCATCACAGTGCAGTGTGCCTTCACCCTGGCCCTGAAGGTCCCTAGAGGAGCTGACCTGTCCAGCCTGCGGAGCCTGCTGAGCCAAGCCCTGCCTCGCCAGGCCCAGCGTGGGCAGCTCAGGTGAGCAGGTGGGAGGTGGTGCAGGACTGCAGAGGTCAGAGGGCAGCGCCCCACCAGAAGCACTCCCTGCCCCCTCGATGCCACTCTGGGGAGTCTCTTTGCAGTTACCGAGACCCCAGCAACAAGGGGCGCTGGGTCCCCCTCTCTGGGGAGGAGGCACTGCAGAGGGCCTGGCGGGACGTGGCGGCCAGCCCGGGGGTCCTGCAGCTCCAGTGCCAGGTGAGCCTCAGGATTGCGTGGGTGTGGGTCTCAGTGTGGGGCACGGGGGACCCTGGGGCCCTTCTCCAGCCCTGCAGCCCCCCTTCCCGCCGTAGGGAGCAGGTGGCCGACCTGCCCTCTGCCAGGTGGTGGCCCAGCACAGCTACTCTGCCCGGGGGCCCGAGGACCTGGCCTTGCAGCGGGGGGATGTCGTGGACGTCCTGTGTGAAGGTCAGTGGGCCGCTGGGGCACGAGGGGCTTCTGTGAGCGGACCTTGCTTGGTGTGCTCTGAGGAACCCTGACTCCCCTTGCATGCAGTGGACCAGGCATGGCTGGAGGGTCACTGTGATGGCCGCATCGGCATTTTCCCCAAGTGCTTTGTGGTCCCAGCTGGACAGTATGTGTGAGGAGCCCGACACCCCCACCCAGAGCCCCGCCCAGCCCAAACCCAGTGAAGAAATCAGCCCTAAGACGTCCCGTGGCAAGGAGGATGTTAATAAAGAAGTCTTTCCCCTGCAAAGGTGTGGTCTGTATTCTGGGCTTGTCCACTTGGAGGGCCTGGCAAAGGCCTCGAGGGTGGGGTGGGGCTGCCACTCCAGGAGAAGCCTGGAGCCCGACACCAGGGGTCCAGCTGGGCCTCTGCCCAGCCTCCTCCTAGAGACCCCCAGGGCCCCACTGCCAGCGTCTCCCAGGGGGCCATAGCCCCTCTTGCCTGAGCGGTCACTCCCACCTCCAGGCTGGACCGGGCCCCACGTCCCACGCACCTAGGTCACACAGCCCTGGAGTGCTGCAGGGCCCAAGTCACCCGCCCCCCTGGGAAGCCTGGTGGAGAAGGGGACCCAGAGGGGCCGGGATGGGGAGAGCCACCCCGAGGGCCGAGTGGGGCCATCTGCCCACGGGGCCAGAGCCCTCAGGACAGGGAGCCCCAACAGGGCTCAGGAGCTCAGGAAGGCTCTGGCCGGTGCAGCCGTCCAGCCTGGGGCCGCCCAGCTTAGCCCTGGGGCCACAGGAGGTGGACTGCCACAGCCCCAAGAGTAGCCAGGAGAGTCAGCACCGCAAAGACGACTCCAGCCGCCCAGATGCCGTAGCTCTCCGCCCGCCAGCGGGCGGGCACCTCGGCCGGGATCACGCCGGTCAGGTTCAGCATGTAGCCCAGCGTCCAGCCAATATCGGTGCCACCGGCCTGTGGGACACGCAGCCTGGTCAGGGCTGTGGGCAGCTGCTGCGGAGCCCCTGACTCCCGCTTGCCCCGGGCCAGATGGCCAGGCCCTGGGAAGTGGTCACCTGCTTGTGGAACTCGATGTCGGGCCAGGTCTCCTCCCTGAACCCGTAGCCCTCGAGCAGCAGTGTGAGTATATACAGGCCCGAAGCACAGTGGTCCCGCAGCCAGCGGTCCTGCCCTGGCGAGCTCGCCTCCACCTGGGGGCCGGGAGGTGAGGAGCCAGGTGACGCCCCCTCTCCCGGCCCACCGGAGGCTGCTCCCACCCACGGATGCGGCCCTGGGCCTCCTGCCTGGAGCGGGATGGCCAAGGGGCTGTCTTCCCTTCCCTCGGCAGCCCCCCACTTAGGGGGCCCTGCTGGCCCCCTAAGTGCCTGCTTGCTGCAGCCCAGAGAGCTGGGGAGGTTCTGGTGGGGACAGGTGGCCCCAGGATCCACATACCTGCTTCCAGGGTCTCCGGCAGAACTCCCAGACAGTGGCGTTGACGGTGGTCAGCGGCTGCTTGGAGGTGAGGTTCAGGAAGTGGAAGGTGTAGTAGAAGTTGGAGAAGGCCTGGGTCGGGGAAGTAAGATGGGCGTGCCTGCACTGGGGCGATGCCCAGGTGGGCCCGGATCAGAGTAGCCCCAGCACGGACCAGGCAAAGTCCCCCCCACACACACGGGGACCCAGAGTCCCCAAGACCCCACCTGTCCAGGGCTCATCCAGGGCCCACCTGGCATCAGGCCCTTGGGGCTCCAGGAGGAGGCTGGGCCCCTGGGGAGGACAGTGTAGAGTGCTCACATAGAACCGGCCCCGCACGGGGGGCTGGTAGACCCCATCGAAGGCACAGTGTCCTCGGCCCTCGCAGCTGGAGAAGTTGAAGAGGCCCCGGATGGCGGAGACGCAGGCCCCAGGGTTCCCTGTTCCTTCCACCGTGAGGTGCCAGGCCAGGTCTGGAGGGGGTGTGGTGTGGACACAGGGTGACTCATACAGGGTGGCCGGGGACAGCGTGGCCCGGTAGCCACTGTGGTAACATGGGTGGCGGACCAGGGGCCCGGGGCTGCTCTGCAAGAGGACAGGGAGGTGGCCTTGAGCCCAGCAGAGGGCCCCAGGCCATCCCATTTCACCTGGGCCTCCTCTGGGGGCAAGCCAACCTCCACCAGCCGAGCCAGGAGTCTGGTCAGCATCTGGTCCCGCCCGAAACAGAGGTAGCTGTGGGTGTAGACCCTGTGCTCAGAGCCGTAGAGGTGGAAGGTGGCCTGAGTGTTCTTGTCCAGGATGGGGCCGCCAGGCACAAAGGTGATCTGGGTGGAGGCTCCACCCATGTCCAGGGCACCCACCAGGGTCCCCTCCGGAGGCCGGATCCATTCTCCAGAGAAGGAGTACTGAGGACAGACAGGCGGCACTGAGTCCTGGAACCAGCCACATGGACCCACAGCCCCCGGTCATCCAACCCCCACCCAGGGGCGGCCTGTGGCACCTTGATCAGCATGCCCAGGACGTAGTTGATGGTAATCCAACCTAAGGCACCTTCAGCCTGCCCAGCCAGGAGCTCAGCACCCCAAAAGTCCAGGGGGGCCTGGCCCAGGACCCGGCTGACTGCCGCAAAGATGTCTCCTGCCTGAGAGCTGTTCTTCTGGCTGGGCAGAAAGGACCAGCAGCCAAAGCTGGTGGGAAACCCACAGCCACCCTACCCTGCCCACCTGCCCAAGGCGTCCATGCCGTGGTTCTCATGGCTGCTCCTCGCAGATGTGCCCCAAGCCCCAAGCCAGCCCACCTCACCTGAGCAGCCTCATGCCAGCTGTGGCCCCCAGGAACATGGGCGTTTCCTGATGTCGTGCCTCCGGGACCAGGGCCAGCGCCTCCTCCAGGCAGCCCTGCAGGCTCTCACCAGCCTGTGCAGGATTGGAGGCATAGGAGGAGATTCCAGGCCCTGAAACAGAGCACCCAGGACAAAGCTCCAGGCTCGAAGGCTGGCGGGGCTTGGATAGTGTCGCCCCAGGAAATATGTCCACGTCCTCACCACTGGGACCTTTGCGTGGGATCTTATTTGGAAAAAGGTTCTCTGCAGATGTAATTAAGGTAAGGATCTTAAGATGAGATCATCCTGGATTCCCGGGGCGGGCCCTATGTTTGATGGCCCATTTCCTTTAAGGGAGAAGAGAGGAGGCGTTGAGACACACGAGGAGGAAGGCTACGTGACGTTGGAGGAAGAGGTTGGACTGATGGCACCACAAGCCCGGGAAGGCCGGGAGCCTCCGGAAGATGGAAGAGGCAGGCGGGACCGGGCAGGCGCTGTACCAGATCTCTGCAGACGAACCTGGGCCCTGGGCCAATGCCACACTGGTCGGCTGTGCCACCTTGCGTCATTCATTCAACCTCTCTGAGCCACTTTTCCTTTAGGACCATTTGCTGATTTGCTAAAGGAAATCCCACCTCGCCCCCGCTGCACCACCCCCCAAACCTCCACCCAGCCAGGGATCCCACCCCGACAGCCGTCCGCGGCGGTCGCGCCGCCCACGTTGGCACACTGACCTTTCACCTGGCAGGCCAGGGCCTGGCTGACCACACCTGTGTTATTTTCCTTGTCTGCTGGCCACCGGTACACAAAGAGGGACGTGTGGGAGGACCCGGCGTCAAACACGATCCCAAACTGAGAGTGACAGCAGGGTCAGGAGGACGGGGGCCAGCACATCATCAGCCCGGCCCCCCCCGCCCCCCGGCTAGGGTCCGGGGGCCTACCTTGGTGTCTGCGGGCAGGAGGACACTGGTGGCCTCCACCAGGAGGAGAATGAGCATGGTGAGGCCTGAGGCCGCTGCGGCCCCTAGCAGGGCCGTTAGGACCCGCTTCTTCCAGGTCAGCCCCATGAGGGCAGGGCAGGGCTGGCAGCTGCAGGGGGGCAGCGGTGGGCACCCAGACTCCCTTTGCTGCAGACGCTGCCGCCCTGGAGAGTCACCCCGTCCTCCCTGGGGCTCAGCACACCCTGGCTGGGTCAGTGGGCAGGGCCACAGACCATGCCATGGGAGCCAGACCTGCCCAGGGTGTTGTGGGCATCGGAGGGGCCCGTGGGGCCAGGGCCCAGGAGGGCTCGTCTGGCAACAGCGCTAGCCCGAGACGCACAATGCTGACGGCGACGGGTCCAGAAGAGCCCCACCCTCATGCCGCGTCGGGGACCAGCTGAGCCCCACCATGCTATCCAGGCAGCCCTGCTCCCCCCACCCTCCCAGGAAAAGGAGCCCCAGCCCTGCAGGTCAGCTCCAGGCTGAGGTTGGGGGAGCCAGGACCCTACCTCTGCTGCCGGCCTGCCTCCTCTCTGCGGCCCCCACCCCAGGCCTCTCCCAGGGCCGTGTTTCCTCTCTGGGAGCCCTGAGGTCAGGCCCGAGCCAGGTGGGGACAGGTGACCAGCTGGATATCTAGTTCCTGCCAGGCAGCCTCACGTGCACTCTAATGAGTGAGGTCAGCAGGGCCCCGAGAAGCACGTTTTCTTGACGAAAGGACCTTGAGGTCAGGCAGTTCTTAACAAAGACGTTGGTTTCTATTTGAAAACCCAACCTCTGGTTTCTCTAATCTGATTGTGAAACTTTTCGTTGGCTCCAGACAGCCCCTGGGCATCTGGCCGAGGCTGAGCCAGGAATGCAATTTGCACAGGGCCCAGGTGCCCAGCTCAGTGGCCTTGGCCCCTGCAGGGCCTGCTCCAGGCCCCAAACACCCCCCGAACCAGGCCGTGCACAGAGCACCGTCAGGAGTCTCGGCCCGGCTGGCGCCACTGCCCAAAGGAGACTGCTCTCCGCGATTCCTGTGATTTTGTATTGCACTGTGAACCTCACAAAAATGCAAACAAATGCAGGCCATTTCCCACTGAGTGATGACACAACTATCCCGCAGGGGGCATAGGACAGGCTGTACCCAGAGGATTGGGGACCTGTTTGAGCCAGCCAGTCCAGGCCCACAGGGGACCCAGCCTGTGCCCCCAACCAGCACCCAGGTCACAGGCAGGGCCCAGGGACACTGGAACCCCACCTCATAACCCCACCTCCAAGCAATATAGCATTCTGAGATCCCCCAGCCTGGGCCCCCAGTGGGTGGGCAAAAAGGATGGGCAGACTCTCCCACGGTCAGAACACCCCC